CGACTCCGGCAGCTTCCAAATTGTCCCTTGCCCAAGCTGCCCAGCAAGCAGGCACTAAAAGGTTTTGCAAATGCACAGTAGTAAGTTTTTCCTTTTCAAAGCACCTCTGAGCTTCAATGAAATCACGCTAGATGAACCTCAGACCACATTTTCTTCAGGAGGTTTAATCATGCTGGCGGGTAGGTGGGTGACCAGGTGTGTCACGCATTTCTGCGTAGGGATGAGGAGCAGGGATAAATTGTGAAGTGAATCTTGCGCGCACAAAAATGCGTGCAAAGAGCACAGGATGGCTGCTCTCTGGAAGTCAGTTGCAACTCTCCCCTTGTGAGCAGCATCAGCCAGGGTTTAGCAGACCACTGACTAAAGCTCGAAATTAATTCTGTCCTCTTTCATCTAGTCAGCTTTAAATAAAAATACATGCAAATGACTACTGACTTTTGGCAGGTGCAGAAGGACAGGATGAAGCAGATAATTAGCTCCAATCCAAAACACTGAAAAAATATATATATATATATTTACACTTGACATTGGTGGCTTGCCTGCACTTTCCACTGGTAATTATACATTTGCTCCTCTTCTGCAGTTCAGGTTGGATATGCTGTGGGTGAAAAATGCCTTGTGTGGGTGGCAAAGCATGACAAGGGCATGGGCAGGGACCTTGTAATTACTGTATTTCCATTGTTGATTTGGTCTGGTCTGAATTATTCCTGTCTCCAAATTAGCTGCCTACAGATGTATAACGCTATCACACCAAGCATGCCAGACATCTGACATGGATGAAGGGATGGATGGATGGATGGGTTGACATCAGCACCATAAAAGCAATGCTGTTTGCAAAAATAGCCTCAGCAAAAAAGAAGAAAGCGAGCTGAAATAAACCTCGTCCACTGAATCGAGCAGAAAACTGAAAAATGTCAGATCGGAGCTGATACACTCCACCAAGTCCTGAATCCTGGTCTGTGGCACATAGTTCCATCTTTATGAGTAAATTAAGCACTGCCAGGATCCGTTCTGGCCATGAAGCCAACCGACAAGTGCTGGCCACATCCACACCACTAAAAATGCCACCGATACAGAGCGGCTGCATCCAAGCTGCTGATTGACGATGGTCTCTGGCCAGCGTCGACGCCTGTGCAAGCTGTGCCCCAGCTCTTTGTGGGTTTGTTTGGTTTTTTTGAGTGGATCCATGCCAGGGAAGGTTCAAACAATGTAACCATGGGGATGGTGGAGCCCTCATGCCCCAGCTCTGCCGTGGCATGGCACAGTTGGCTGGTTTAGATGATCCTGGGGTGAATCCAGCGGCACAAATGCACCAGAGAAGTTGCCCACTGATCTTGTGAATAAAAATGGGCTCAACTTTCTCCATGACAATTTGAAAAACTCCTCATGCAGTATCTTCCGGCAAGAAGGTGGGGCATGGTATAGCTAATCTAGCGGGGAGAAGACGAGGAGTTAAAAATCAGGTGAAACCAAAGCAAGTCACTGACCCTTGTGCACATCAAAAAATCAAAGGGACCCGGGGCAAAAACAACCCAGGAGGTGAGGACTGGACTCTTAGCATTGAGATTAGTACCAAGAAAGAGCTGGGATTTTGGCTTGGCAGAAGGCGCTGCTTGGCAACAAGATCACAGATGATCCCAAGAGGAAGTGGTCACCACACCAAACTGTCCACCAGGAACTCGGTGGGTGTAGCGGCAGAGCACGTGCTTTACGTTAAGGCGGTAATGAAGTCCGTCGAAGAGACAGAGCTCTTCAGGGCTGACACAGGCTCTCACTGGAAAACTTTTCCTAAACCAAGATGCCAGTGAGTATCATTCAAAGAAAAGAGTGGAGGCAGCGAGTTTATGCAGCTAAGCGTAAAGAAACAGTCTTAACATGCCGTGGAGGCACCTGCCTTCGTTGTTACCCATCTCACGAGCCACGAAGAAGGAGGACTTTGGAGAAGGGGTGTGTGAAGCCCTTTGTCAAGCTGGTTTGGCTGTGAGAAATTAGCACTGCATTGAGAGGTAAGGTCACTTCTAGAGTGTTTTGCCCCTCGACTCCCGTAACGGGAGGGAGAGGACGGCTGTTGGTTTGTTGGTCTGGAGCAAGGGTCCCGTTCCTGAGGGAAGGCAGGCTGCAGATGCTCACAAGAGGCAACACCAAAGGGTTTCCTCCTCGACTCCAGACAAGTGTGCCTCGGCTCGTTGACTCGTGTCTCCATCCTGGTGCGAAGCGGCAGATTCTAGCTGTTCGGTGGGGAGTGGATCACATCTCCAAATCAGACCTCAAGGTTGACGAGTTTCAGGCAAGGGCACCTTCTCATGGTGTTTTCGAAAATGAGGATGCTGTCTCCTGGAGGAAAGGTTCCTGAGGAACAGCAGGGTTGCTTGTCATCCGTTCCTTTCTCATGCTTATGCCAGTGAAATGCAGATGTGTAGAGGAGAGCTCTCCATGCAAGGGTCTTGAGTCTCAGGGAACTGGATCATCAGAGTAAATCTACACTAGTTTTAAAGGTACATAGAAAGAAAGTCCCTGGGAGAAGATATGCAGGCCTGTTCCTGGAAGATGGGCATCTCTGTGGTTTTTATGCCTCAGTAGCTGGGGATGGCAAGTTCACTTCACAAATTACCTCTTTTTATGGAGACAAGATATGCATTAGGGAAGAAACAGGGTGAAATGTTAGTAGGATGCTTGAGGAGGGACTGGTTCTGGGACAAAGGAGAAGGGAAATGAAAGCTTTTCACAAATATATAAGTGTGTGTGTATATATATATATTTATGTGCACAGTAAACAAGGGACATGGAATTAGACAGGAGATGGCAAGAAAAAGAATCCCTCCCTTTGCATGAAAATGTGATCATCATATTGGTTGTAATCAGAGCCCAGAAACATTTGCCTGAAATGGAGTTTGACTGGGAATTACAGTACCAGTGACAATTTGGCTTCTTATAAACTTTGCCGTGTGTCTCTAGTTTGGCGTGAACGAGCCCTGCCCTCCTTAAAAGGGACGGACACCAGTTAAAAGTTTTCTTTACAAAGCAAAATGAAACAACTGAAGAAACCCCAATGTTTTCTCAGAACACTGCAAAGGATCACTGATTGAAAAAAATGTTTCTCTTCAGGTATATTCAGGCGAAGAAAGCATTCAGCTTCTTTAAACTGTTATATAAAATTGGTACTAGTTTCTTTAAATACTATTATAATTAAAAAAACCAACCAATTCCTCAAATTAAAAAAAAAATCATAATAATAATTAAAAAATATCCCCCCCCATGCTGATCTTCTCTTCAGAATAGGTCAGCATGGGAGTTTTGCACCCTAGACAGTTACAGTATTTCTGGAATAAAAAATTGCAATTACACACAGAAAATACTACAGCATTCACTTAAAAATATCTCATTTTGTTGTTGTTGTTGTTTTGTGTTTGTTTTTTTTCCCCTCCCAAGCAGAGGGATGGTGGGATTGAAAAGATGCCCTGAAACAGGAATAATCCTTTTAAAGGAGCAATACTCTCGAAACGGAAAAAGGGCGTTGGGCGGACGCGAAACCCGTGATTTGACTCGAAACAAAGAGATTCCAGCACAGAAACAAAACCGGAGAGATGTGAATGTTCCGACACCGAGCGGGTTATTTGGAATTGTCAGGACAGCCGCGCAAGCCTCGGCCGGCGACCGTCCAGGCTTTGCCATCATCGGAGGTGGCAGCATCTCCTTGCGGTGAGAAGGCTAAGCTAAACCACGACGCACGTTTTTCCTCTGGTGTTGCTTCTCGCCATGTACTTACAGTAGAGGGTGACACGAGACAGTTTTTTTGTGGTGTTTTTTTTTTTTTCCTTATCAGCAGTTCCCCACATGTACCGAGTCGAAGAATTCTCAGCTAAGTCACAACAACAACATCAACGAAAATACAAAGCACCAAATCATCTCGAGACGTGAGTCAGTCTTACAGGTTATTACCGTTTGAAGAAGTTTGTTGGTTGGTTGTTTTGTTGTTGTTTGTGGGTTTTTTTGTCTGTTTGTCTTTCTTTTTTTTTGTGTGGTTTTTTTCGTTTGTTTTAAATCCCGATTTTCATGTTTTGTTTTCCTTAAAAAACAAAACAGAACAAAAATCAAAACCCAAAAAACCGCAAAATGGAACGAAGGATGCTTTACAATCACTTTAAGGCTCGCACTGAATGAGACATGACAGGTCTTACACGAGATTACAAATAATACATGGATACCTTTCACAGCCTTAAAATGATCCAGTAGGTCAAATTATTTTGCCAGTCACTGATCAAGTATTGTGCCTTTAAATTGACTCGCTTTTTGCTACTATGCTGAGTTTTATTATTACTGAAATAGATATGTGTAAATGTACTTTAGCGTATAACATTTTTGGTATGTAATTTCAGGGGTTGTGGATCTCTTTGTTTTCCAGAAATCTGGGTTTGGACGCTCGTTATTTATTCCACTGAGGACAGCGGTGCTTTAGCACACGCAGCTGTCGGGAACAAGATCGGGTTCGGTATTTTCAGATCAATTTGGGGCAAACCAGCCATTTTGCACGGCTCATTTACGCGTAAAACGCAGTTTCGTGGTGGGATCACGTCTAGAACACGGCTCGGTCAAGGCTTCGTAGGCTTGGCCAAACGGTGTTATGAACGTGCTGCCAAATCGAGCTACAGACCTGATTTTTGTCTTTGAGCCGTTGGAAAAATCCAACTCCATTGGGGGGGGGTCTTGGCTTTGCTTTCGTATCTTTAGACATTTTTTTTTTCTGCTGAATCCAATAAGAGCAACCAGATTGTTTTTTCCATACATTTCTCTTTTTTTGTTGTTGTTCTTTTTTACTTTCTTTTTTTTTTTAATTGTAAGGTTTGTATTTCAGTTGGTTGGTTGTTTTTATTTTTTTTTTCCTGGCATATAATCATCAAAGAGTTTTGCATGAGAAAGGTGACAGTACTTAATGAAACTCAGCACCTAAGGGCATAAGGCAGTTGTAGGTTTGTTTGTTTGTTTTTTTTTTTATTTTTCAATCAGCACCAATCCCATAAATAATGTTCTACACTTGGTGTACGGTATAAAACTGATGTGGAGATGCCTCCTTCTCCACCTGTGAATCCTAGGTGTGGAAGTTGAAATACTGTTTCTTGTGTGTAAAAAACAAAAGAAAAGTTTTTCTTTTTGTTTTTACTTACAAAACATAGAGAATATCTTTTTCTTTTTTTTTTTTTATACATACAGCAACCAGAAAGAAAGCTTATCTGAAGGTTTGTGTTTGTTTCATGATCTGTGTTTACCGTAAACAAAAATAAGGTCCCCTCTTTTACTTTTGTTTTAAGGAGCTTTAAAGTGAAGATTCATATTGTAGCAACTCATATAAGAGAGGTCCATCTCTATACCTAATACCTACAGCTGTGGGGGTGACATACTGGAGGATGTTGATAGTTCTTCTTAACCTCCTGTCTACAAAATGAGCATCCCAGGCAGGGTACCTTTTTCTCGGGATGTCAATCTTAATGAGAGGCCCCTCGGGGGGGTAGGGTCGCCCAGATGGAGTAGATGGGACCATTGCTCTCACCTGGAAAACGGGCAAGCAAGTGTCAGCTGTGAGTTCCTCCTGTTGCTCCGTGACCGCTCTGGTGGGCGTAGCCTGGGCCCCCCGGTACCCAGGGGTTTGGGGTGCCATGGGCTCAACATCGGGGGGCAAAGGAATGCCCCAGAGCAGCTCGGCGCAACAGGAGCTGACAAGGATCTTAGCTCTGGGCCCCATGGGATGCAGCACACCATAATATAACAGCATCAAAGCTATCCCAGCAGCAAAGCTAAGAAAGACACAACACAGTGCTGGCACGGCATATGAGTCAGTAGTGTCAGGATCTCTGTAAAAATACCAAAGGAGCGTCAAGGTAGCGTTCTCCGTCAGGACTACCGTGTAATACGCAAACATTCTGTATCGAGTCCGCCCTTCCTTGACATTAAACCAGCAGAAAATGTACACAATCCCTACCACCATGTTGAAGAGGATCTCCTCCCACTTAGACATGCAGAAATCTGTCCCACCATGGATGATCCAGAAAGCCATGGCACACCAATGGACCACTACAAAGATCCCAAAGTAGAGCTGGAAGATGGAAGCAAAGAGAGCAAAAGAAATAACTCGGGATGAGATGGTGAAGAAGCGCCAGAAGACATGGATGAGGGCCCCTCTGTAGCTCATACTCTTCTTGTCGTCCCTAGAGTCCCGAAGAAGCTTGTGATAGGAGGCTAGCACCCAAGCCAGGGACATCAGGGAGGCCACAGAGGACACACCTGCCGGAAGACACACAGATCCACTGAGTTAGACAGGAGCTTTGGTTGAAAACATCATCTGCTCACTAAATTATTGATTCGGGAGCAGGCTCAGTAGCCCCAAGGTTCAACTCACATCAGGTTGTCCTTACAGTCTAGAGGAGAGAAATACAGAAATATCAGTGCGGGAACTGGAAACGCTGCTGTGTTCAGGGCATCTCTGACACAGCGCATCATGCTTATCTTCATGAACCGTCGGCTTCGCCACCCCACCCCAGCTCTTCTCGCCTTGCAGAGAACAGCCTCTGTCCTCATCTTGATTAGATCCACACTTGAGAGTTTGAAATCCAGATCCAATCTGAACGCTGCAGCCCGAGTATGAAGGTTACTTTCCATAGAAAGGTGTCTGTCTTGGGAGTGCACCACGGCAAGAGCAAGACATCTATATTCCTTATAAGTGCATGGGTCTTTTCTATTCTAAAATACTTCCATGCAATCAACGTTCACATTGAAATATACTCAATTCTGCCTTAACCAAGAATCCCTCATCTGCATTCACCTTTAGGAAAAATAGACGGCTGGTCAGTTTTTTGCCGCTCTGTGGTCCCATGCAGATGTATATATAAATACAGGGAACATCAAGACTCATTAATACCCTTCAGATAGTCCCAAACCAAAGAATCTGATCCCTCCAGTAACTATCCTGCCCTATTTCCAGGATGGACGAAAGACCTGTATTGGAGGTAGTTTTATCTCCAGCACCATCTCCTGGATGGACCACAGGTCCAAACCTCAGTTAGATCTCCAGCCCAGTCTCATTCTGCTCCTGGTGGGAACCCCTAAAGAGATTTTGGATACAGTCCATCTCCTTGCCTTGTGTGGGACCTCTGAAGTCCCATGAAGCTCTGCCCAGTGCACGAGATTCTATGGTACTGCTCCCATCAGTGAGGGCATTGCCAGCTCTCAACCCACCTCCCTATGCCCTAGCCTGGGCCAGAAACCCCTTGATATTCCAAAGGGGCCTGATCTTATTCCCCATCTCAACCCACACGCTATTTATTTGCTCCAAAGGGTATAATAGTGTCCCTTCACACTTTGGGAGCTTTAAAAATATGGTATCATTGATTACCGCAAGGGTAAATCGAAGAACTCATTGACCAAAACATCATAATAAAAACTAATCGACAGATTCCGGGGAAAAGAAAAGACTGTTGGCATCTTACTCCCTTGCTCCCACTGCTGCTCACTGGACAACTGCTCTGCAGGTGAGAGAACAGAAGATGGACTAAGATCTACGTCTGGGAAGCTCAGTAATTTGGTGGCTATAGTTTGATTGTGCAACATGCTGGAAGACACGTTGAGTTCTTTTCAGTTTTTACTACTTTAAGAAGTGAGGAAGGAGCAGCTTGCTGCAGCTGTCCAGGGTTAAAAAGCTAAAATGTCTGAAAACCCTGAATTTCTTCTGTTTTCTTCTCCCTTTTCCCTCTGTCCACAAGGACCTGGCTCTCATGGGGATGGAAAGAAGATCCGCTGGCTCTTCAGATCTCACTCTAGAGGCTTTATCTTCTTCTTGAGGAGGCCACACCACAGTACAGTAGGGCTAAATTCTCCCCCTTCCAGGCTAGCTATGTCTAGAGGAGCTGTGATGGAGAAGATGCCCACCAAGGATGACAGACCTCCACCTCTGTCCTTCATTGAAATTCTCCCAGCCTGCAGGCCCACCTTTCCATCAGCTTTCAAGTCTCTCTCTGAATACCTTCCCTGTAGGCTCACACACGCGTTAGCATTTCAGATGGAATTTTTAAAAACAACAAAGCACGAAATTATAAGATCGGAGGCCTTGACCAAGAGTGAAGCTTTAGGCCACCACAATTTTCCCCAAGTACTAAGTCCTCTATAAGAAACGCATATAGGACTTGGGGGCTCTAGTGGATGGAAACTTCTGAAAGTGAGTAGCCTCAGCCCCAAAGAGATGCAGATTCGATTTGCTTTTAACCTACCAGAGGTAGGTTAGATTTGGTAGATGTAATTAACAGTTTTGGAAGGCTGAGCAATGCCACACAATTCTTAAAGGTAAGTGATGCTGGAAGTGCTGTTTGTTGCGGTATCTTCTAGCTCTTCAGTTTAAAACTTCCCATGATTAGCAGAAAAAAACCCCAATAAGTCATGTATTGTCTTATTTTAGTGCTGTTATACTAGAAAACTGTACATTAGAGGTACCTGCATACTGAAACTCAAGCAGCGCTAATCCACAAGAGACAGACGTGTCACACTGGCTTAGAAATATTTCTGTTGCGTTCATTTGTTCTAGAGTAGAGAGAGGAATAAAACACACCAGAAACAAAACCCCAGTATACACATAAAGGCTTTTCTCACTGTAACGTTTTCCGTGCAGAAACCTACACTAATCACAGGCTTCACTGCAAATTGCACTGAGCTGGCTGAGAGGATGTGCGTTGAGTCACTCCCGGTGCACGCTACCCTGCCTGCTGACAGTCATCTGAACATCTCCTCGAGTCACCAGAGAGAGGCAGACACCCCCAGAAAGTGATTCACCCTGTCCTAAGATCCACGTGTGGGACAGGGAGGGGTTGACTCACGCTCCCAAAGTGTCTGACTCCATCCTTCGCCGGGGGAGCGCGGGGACTTGCAAGCGGCAGCAAGTCAGGCGGGATGAGTCCTACCCTTACAAAACAGTTCGCTGCCTCCTCGTTTGCACTAAGATCTGACAGGTGGTGGTGGGGAGGGGTGAAGCATCTCTAGACATTCTGACATACTCCTGCCATTGTTTCAAAATTCACGGCTCTGTGGCGAATGCCAATTTTGGCATCCTAGTGATGCGCGGGATCAGGACTCGGGTGGCAGGGGCTGTGATCAGTAGGTGGACATGAACTGTGGGGCGATACAAAGACTTCTCCAGTACTTCTGTGTTCTGCCACAGAAATTATTCCCTGGCTATTTCATACAGACATCAGTGACAAAGCATGCCTTGGCTTTTGTCATCTTGACCATGAGTTCTCGTTCCCATCTTTCCCCGTTACTTCTAGCCTGGGACATCTTCATACAATGTAAAATTGTCACAGACTGTGCCATAAACTGTTCCTTTCTTTTCCAACTCTCCGGGCCTTATTTCTAAGCGACTATAGACACCTCTAATCATAACTACAACAAAAGTTCTGCTAAGTTGGATCACGTGGGAAGCATTTTTTCATTTTCGTTTTGACTTTTGCACATGGTGTCTGACGAACCTTCATCCAGCGTGAGTGGGTTTCAACTCGCTCCTAAGGTTTGTTTATCAAAGGGCTGAGTGAGGGGTTGGTTTAAAACTGAAGTCACTTCAAAAAAAAAACTCAATCCCACTCCTCCCACTCTGTGCTTAGCCTTGGGAGGGGAAAACACCTGCCCAGCACTGCAACTTCTCTGCGGGCATTCTCAAGCCAGGAGGACATCAGCTATCATGGGGCTGAAAGGAGATCTGTGGGATCTGTATCCCTCCTGCCCTTAACGTGTCAGACTGGCATAGATGTTGGTTATCTTCAAACTCTCTGCATCGGGCTGCACATCAGCCCTTGAACTCCTGCTAGGAAGCAGTAAGTGACTCACAGGCCGTAGTCAGCACCATTGGGAAGTCAAGCCCAGACATCCTGAATGACACATCACAAGAATTAGTCCCCCAGATCCCTTTAGTAACGTGCCCTGAAGTCCTTACTGCGAGACATCTCCTAACCTACATTCATCACGGTGAGGCAGAGCTCTCTAATGTCCCCATGTGACAGATGAAGCACTAAGATTTGAAGCATTTACCCAATGTCTAATACAAAATCCATGTTAAAGCAGGGAACAGATCTTCATATCACAATGAACCTTGCCAAGGCATTGCCCTTGTGGCCAAGAGGGCCAATGGTTTCCTGGGATGCATTAAGAAAAGTGTAACCAGCAGGGCTAGGGAGGTTCTTCTCCCCCTGTACTCTGCCCTGGTGAGACCACACCTGGAATGCTGTGTCTAGTTTTGGGCTTCCCAGTTCCAGAGAGACAGGGACCTACTGGAGAGAGTCCAAGGGAGAGCTACGAGGGTGATCAAGGGACTTGAACATCTCTCCTATGAAAAGAGACCGAGAGAACTGGGGCTGTTCAGCCTTGAAAGGAGATGGCTGAGAGGGGACCTTATCAACGTATAGAAATATCCGAGGGGTGGGGGTCAAGAAGAAGGGGACAATCTCTCCTCAGTGGTGCCCAGCAATAGAAGAAGAAATAAAGGGTTTAAGTTAGAACATGGGAAGTTCCACCTCAACATGAGGAGAAACTTCTTTGCTGTGCGGGTGCTGGAGCCCTGGCCCAGGCTGCCCACAGAGGGTGTGGAGTCTCCTGCTCTGGAGACTTTCAAACCCTCCTGGACACGTTCCTGTGTGGCTGCCCTGGGTGACCCTGCTCTGGCCGGGGGTTGGACTGGATGATCTCTGGATGCCCCTTCCCGTCTATGATTCTATGATTCTATGATTCTATGATTTCAGACAGGATTCACCTCCTACTGTAGAGACTCATCCCAGGGTGTCCAAGGGTAAGTGATGTCTCTTACTTTAGTCCATGGAGAATTGAAACTTAGTGCAACCATCACACAGGGGGATCTCGCAACATTCGAGATGCTCTAGGATATTCCGGACCTCCAATTGGAGCTAGCAGATGTTCCAATTGGAACTTGCATACAGAAGACAAGAACATTTCTGAACTGGGAGCTGGGGCGAGGCAGGGTACTCAGGGCACCTCAAAGGACATTAGGCAAAATTCAAACAAATTGTTTCCTTAGTCATTACAGCCGGTGGAGCCAGAGCTGTAGAAAGGTCCTGTTGGCTGTATTGCCTATATCTCCATTGAATGCAAGGGGAGCTTGGACACTCTGATCATGTGGAGATGCCTCCATTGGACACACCTTTGTTTAGGTGTCCGAATCTGGAGCTGAACTCACCTATCATCTTGAACTGCCTTGATGCAAACTTCTTGAGTTAGTAAATCTGCCTTTCTCA